TTTCGTCGTTCAGTTATTCGGAGGTGACAAAAGAATTAGATTACACAATCAGTATGTACTAAAGCAGGTAACAACGCTGTCTTTGCTTGTAAGGTTCATTATTAAAACTTGTGTGTTAGAGGAACTGGGACTAAATTCTACAGGTGGTAATCCAACTTATACCAATAGCTCCCTTTCTAAGAATGAAATTTCTCAAAATTATATGTCATTTTTGAATACTTTAAATATTCCTGAAAACCAGAATGATTTTGAATTACCTTATTTATTATGGATATCACAACTTCTTAAAATACTCTCAAAGATATATAGCGGATTCCAGTAAATGTTCCACCAAGTCTCTTTCTTGACTCCTCAATAAAATATTAACAGTGTCAAAAGTTAAGTAGAAACTTCGGGGGTGCTGTGCAACAATATATTTTTGAGAAATGGTGTGTTTTCCAATGAAAATGAAACTAGCAAATCTACGCACATTGTCATTTGTTATCGCAAAATTATTTTCTAATTATTCACACAAGCACTTTAAGTATATTAATGATATGAAAAAGATGCTTGAGTTTCTGATTTCTATATCTTTCTTTTGGTTTTTGGAGACTGGTTTTCCAGAGGTCTTTTGGAAATTTCATGGGCACTAATTGCTCTTCATTATTAGCAAACCTATTTTTGTATTTATATGAAGCCGAATTTTTTTAGAGTCTTTTACCTGAAAAGAAAACACTTCCCGTGGCCGTCAATTCGACATTTTAGATATATTGACGAATATTGTTGAGTATTGTTGAATCACAATGGTTATTTCCATTCTTATGTCGATACTATATTATACGATATATATATATATTACTATATTATGTCGAAATATCCCGGTGAGCTTAAAATAAAAAAAGTCTGCCACATCTGCTTCATACTTAGGCATTTTCTTGAAAAAGACGTAAAAGGTAATCTAACAACCAAATTTGTTACAAAAGAGATTACTTTTGCTTTTAAATCAACTTCCTTTACTTATGCAGCGATATAATTTATAACATATATATGAAGTGAATCTCAGTTGATTCGATATGCAATAGCATGCTCTACGAATAACAATCATTAAAACAAGGTAAGCTATTGAGAAACAAGTTGCTGAATCAAGAATATCAGGAGTCTAGTTTGAAGTCGTCATTTTATAAGTTCTGTGGTCGATACAATGACCTTGTCAGCAAATACAATTTATGTCGTTAAATAATCGGCAGGCTCACCACATTTAGTTTTTCCTTAGTTTTCTAAAGATTAACTTAAACACATTCACAGAGATGAATAATGTCATTTATATGAATGACGGTATCTAAAAAAAAGGGGGGGGGATCAAACTAATTAGCTCAGATTTAATGTTATAATAATTAATATTAATAATATTAATATATAAAAAAAATTATGATTCCCCCAAAAATGACTTGAATTTTTTTTCTTCGTAAAACAATAAGATGAATTCTTTTAAGAAAAATATAGCAAAAATTGGCACATCAAAACGAAATTGGCAATATTAATAATTACAAGAATACATATGAAATATTGATAAAATTATAAGATTGCAGGGGCGGTGGTTGGTCTTCGAAACGAACGTGTTTTAAATATACTGCATGTGGTCACTGTGCCTGTAGCAGGATACAACAGATCTACATGTACTTAGTAGCCAATATAACCCAAACTTGTTAATCATTGGCTGGAAATTTCGCAGTTAACTGGCGTCAAAACAATTTATAATTGAGTCAAATGCTGGCTGGCGTTTTTTATTCTAATCGTTAGACCATTATCTACACACTAAATATCGGCGGATTTTTTCGTTATTTCCCGAACATGACAAAGAGCACACGGCGGGTGTGACCGGTCGGCAGGGGAAGTTCACTGTTACCTGGCACCTGATTCCACTTCCGATGTTTTTGGGGGTACATGTTTGCTCTGCTCCTATTTTGTATAGTTTGGAAAATTTTTGAGCTTGAATGCTGTTTTTTCACCATATATTTCATTCGTTGTTTTTTTTTTTTATTTTTTTTTTTTTAGAAAACCGCTTCTATCATCTTCAACAATCAGGAAAACGTCTATAAAGATTGGATTTTTAAGTACATTTCTTGGGCTTTTTGATTTATAAAACATACTATGATGTACACATCTTTAATGCAACGTTACCAAATATAACGAACATTAACAAATCAAATGGGTATTTACACAAAAATATATATAAGCAAGAAAATGCCTTCTTTTTGGTTTCTTGGCAATGAACATCAAACCACATTTAATGTTATAAGTAATATGGCATTCCTGTTTTTGTGATTGCCGAATTCGATGTTTCATTTGTCAAAGGGCTTATTGTTGAGGCTACTTTAAGTTTTTGAGCAATATGGCATGGACAAACAAGTTTACTTTAATTATTAGGAATAATACCACAACAAGGCCGGTAAAGACAAGAGCCAATTAAAAAAAAAAACAAACAAACAAAAGCAATTCAAATAATTAAATGGCCTATTAAAATCAATTAGGATAAAATACAAGCATAAATGTTTCCTATTATAGTAATTAACAAGTTTTAACTCAGATGTTTGATATTTTATTACAATTCAATTCTTTATTTCTTTATGCCGTATGGCACATCAGGCAATTAATATAAACAAAAATATATATATTAAAATCTTTGAGTTATATAATGAATATTTACATACATATTATTTGCTACAAACAATTAAGTAGTTCTCTTCTTCCTTGTGAAGCGCAGAACAAAAATCTTCCCGATTTAGACATTTCTTTGACATTTTGAACACTTTTATGGATAACGATATCTTCTTACTTTAGTATTTATTATGTTGTGTATTTAATCAAACAGGAAGTTGTTATCAAGTTTTACTTAAGTGTAAAAAAAAATGCATCAGTAAATCATTGGATTTATGTATTTACGATCTTATAAAAAGATTGCATAGGAAGATTTAAAACGTGAATAACAAAGTCACCTTTTTAGGACAACCTTACTCTACTACGGAAGCCCATTTAGGACCTATCAAAAATAGTTTTGAATTCGTTATAACGATTTTTAGAATTCGTTTTAACGAATTTAATTTGTTATAACAGATTTTTAGAATTTTTTATAACGAATTTAATTTGTTATAACAAAATTGAATTCGTTATAACGAATTTAATTTTGTTATTAAAGATTCATTGAATTCGTTATAACGAATTTAATCTGTTATAACAGATTCATTGAATTTGTTATGACGAATTTAATCTGTTATTACAGATTTGTTAAATTCGTTATAACGAATTTAATCTGTTACTACAGATTTATTGAATTCGTTTTAACGAATTTAATCTGTTATTACAGATTTGTTGAATTCGTTATAACCAAATTCTTGAAACGAATTCAATAAATCTGATATAACAAATTAAATTCGTTATAACGAATTCTAAAAATCTGTTATAACAAATTAAATTCGTTATAACGAATTCTAAAAATCTGTTATAACAAATTTAATTCGTTATAACGAATTTTAAAAATCGTCATAACGAATTCAACAATATCTTTTGATAGGTCCTAAATGGGCTTCCGTATTCTACGTATTTAAAACTCTTATTTGTTAAATAACAAGAGAGAAAAGGGGATTTTTGTGATTTTATTCTTTTGAATAAACAACATACACATTTAGAGTATAGCGTTTGAATAAAATCAAGTTTGATAGATAGATATCTCTTAAACGAATATTAACAAGCAAACATATCCAGTTATACCGCCTTGGCTTTTTACTCTGTGAACAAAGAAAATGTCAGTTTTTAATATTTTGTTGTTGATAAATTTTCTACTTGGATTTTTAGAGTACCCCTCTATATCTTTTTTAAGGTTATTGATGACGATGAGTCAAATGTATACAACTAAAGATAACGAACAATGAAGAATTCCATTAATTAATGCATGTAATACATGTTTAAAATAAGATTATATTTATTAAAAGTCGGGTATATCAACAAAGCACAATTTCCGACTACTTTCCGAATATAGGGATGTATCCACATGTACAAGATAGACTTTTTAAGAAAATCTTACCTATAATTTCCAGATAAATGTGTTTTTCTCTTTGTTCTTTGTTCATGTCTAACATTGATTCATGCATTCTTTTTTAAATTTTAGTATATCCTTCAACACACCGACTTAGGATTTTTCAAAAAAAAAAATCCATGTTCATTCGTGGAAATTAAGGACAGATGCAGCATCCCAAACATGACGAATATTAATATTTGTAAAATTTTTTAAAAAAGTTGCACGTTCACAAAGTAGCAAGAGATTGAAGATTCAATGTTATTGTCGGACTTTTGTTTAAAGTTATTTTCCATGATATCTACGTATTTGTATATAATTGGGATTACTTTTACACCTTTAACAGATGATAGCCTTTTCTTAAATTGTTGTACTTACATGTAGCAGTTTAGATAATGAAATTTTTTTGGGGGCACACAACTAATGCCTTATCTCGTTGTGTGGTCCTTTAGGCTGATTGATTGTGTGTTGCTTAACGTCCCTCTCGAGGATTTTCACTCATCTGGAGACGCCACTACTTGCCACACGTATTTTGTTCAATACTCGGCCCTTAGGGCCATTGAGCAGGGGGGACGTTTTCGTGGCAGCATCTACTGTGTTACGGGACCTCGGTTTATACAGTCTAATACGAAAGACCGGCCTCCACGTTCTACAGTGGGATTCGAACCTCCAACGTAAGGATCAGTTCCTTCCTTTTCAAACATAGACCAGACACTCTAACCACTGCGTTCTTATTGAATTTATATACACAAGGTCTCATAAAAGTAATATACACAATGTTTATAAAGAATAGACTAGTAAAATTCGAGTTTTTAAGAAAATATACAGCCTCGTCAGACTGCACACACAAAACTTTTTTTAAATAATGGACGGTTTTGCCAAACCCTTAAAAAATAAACCACGTGACATGATTAGAGCAAATACAATGAATTAGGCGTTTGGCGTTCCAGCTAGACGGAAGAAAATAAAAGATGGCCAGAATTTTCATATATTTTGTTCTCAGTGGAATTATTGGACTAGAGTTGGTATCTGGAGATTGCGATCGTTACTACGGACCAGTTGGTACTCCTGAATGTGTGCTTTTAACTCCATATTATTTCAAGTACCAATGGGCGACATGCTTAACTAATAAATACATACAGACGGTGTCAAAAGGAAACGCCATATGTAGGGACAACACCGCAACCTACTGCTACTACCAATGCATGATGGAATTGTATGAAGTTGCTCAATGTAAGGAAGATATCTTCCATTTTATATACGGACAGCAAGTACTGGCGTAATGTTACTAGGGGTAGGATGTTCTTTTTTTTAATTGAACGAAATTTTCTCTTCATTTTACATTTCTCAGGACAAGTTAGTAACGATTGTGCGTGTGGAGTTGATGCCCCACAACAAACACAAACTCCACCTACGAATCAAACTCAGCTTCCGAGTCATTGCTACAGTCCATCCGGTAAAGACTGCAATTGGTACAGCGACTGCTTGGAGGTAAATAGTTTCAATAGAATGCTTTCATTCTTTATTGAAATTCTTACTGATAAAAAAAATTATATGTTTGTAATATTGTATATGAAAATATTTGTTTCGAAAGGTTTGACTATCCATCATTTTTTATTTGTTAAAACAGAGAAGATTCCCATGTCAAGAAATGCAACAAACATCATACGCAATAAACTATGGTCTAAAGTTTTGCTCCTTGTACGAAAACCATTACCAGCGCTTCTCTTCTGAAGGTCAGCAGTGGATTGATGCCGTTAGAGGATGTTTACAGGTGGCGTTAGTGCCACTTCTTCGTCCCTTTTTAACAATCAGTTGCGGTGAAATAAAAGAGAAAGCATTTAATTCTCATTTGGGTTGTTATACAAACCCACTTAAAAATGCGCCATCGTTTTGCGATTTATCCTTCATGGATAAATGGAGAATCTTTTATACCGTTATACCGGGACTGATGTCAAATTGTTATCGAACAAGACATCTCTGTAAAGATATATTTCTCTCAGCTAAGCAGTTATTGAATGTACGCATTGCATGCAAAAACCGCGAAAATTTGTCGGAAGAGGGAAAAATTCAACAAATCCAAATCAGGTATATCGGTCTTAACAGGCAAACAAGGTCGCGGCGGTCTTTGGAAACAACAGATGATTATTCAGCTGGGGCTGACCTTGTTAAAACGATTGCAAATGAAATGGAATGGGATTTAAAAGGAGTGACATGGGTAGCATACTTTCAAAACAACATAACGGCAGACGAATCCTTGCAGTATTCGAGAAAGCACTATTTAAATATCTTACTTGCACCCAGCAAATTATACAATCTAAATGACAGAAGGAACGCTTCCTCGGATGCTAATATCACCATCGTTGTTGGCGAAATAACTCAAGCATTCCGTGATGGCATTCTCAGTTCAGATATGATCACTGAAATTTCCCTCGTAAAATTCGCGGTGTGCGCTGACTACAACTGCTCTAACAAAACTATCGAAATCGAACCGTCTGCCAGTAAAAGAGATACAGAAGAAGGGTTCTGGTCGTTAACAAACAGAATTTTTATTGCAATCGGGGCTTTTCTGCTTTTGATAATATTTATTTCTGTAATTATATGCCTGAACCGGCGCAATGCAAGCAAAATTATTTAAAAGCTATGTTATCGAAACAAAGACATATTAAAACTGTAGTTAATAAATGTAATTTGGAAACAGATACATAAGATAATCTAGTGGAAATATACATCTGGTTTTTTTTGTACATTTCTAAAGTGTAAATGTTTGATTATGATTTATGTTAAAATAAAATGTTACATTGTAAATACATGTATATTGAACAGCTCCTAGACAGGAAGAATAGTTTTTTAAATCATTTTATTATATAATTAGTGCTTCGATTTTACAAATCATAATGTGAAATACTATTTCCTATATTCTTACTAACATTTTTAGTAATATATACATTTGTAGAATAATTGTAGAATACTTAAATTAACATGTATCTAATTTTAAAAAATAAAATTTAATGTCCAATCATGTTTTGATGAAGTAAGGAGAAATGTGGAAACTCTTCTTTAGTTTGTCTTAATTAGAACAGTTTTACATATACCATATTTACCTTTAAATAAACATGAAGCTTCCAAGAGCATTCTCTTGTCTAAAAGAGGAAACATGTTTCATCAAGATACAAGTGATATAAGGCAAGATCGTTGATTTGATTTCTAAGAATAATTTTATTGAAAATGATGTTGATCAAAATTAAATGGGAAGACTAATCGTAAATAAGCAAATGCAACATTAGTTTTCCTTTCACCAAAATCAGCACTCGGATGCATCCTTTGCTTTTGTTGCACCTTATTGTTTTCTTATCACGGGTACATGTACCTGTGTGCAATGGGCGACAAGTGTTCGTGCTGCTTACTTTACATTATTTTTGTTTATAGGTTATTGCAGTTTACTGACTAAGTGTGCGACTTTTATAGGGCCTTCAGAAAATTATAAAGACAAAGAAAGGATTTTGGTGCCCATATTTCTTTTAGAAATCGTGTTCAGCTCTAATGAGAGGAAGGGTTAAAACTTAACTTGTACACTTAAAAAAGTTCGTAACACGCACTTATTTTTGATTTTGCAACGAATGTTTACCTGATCGGTACTAGTATAACTAATATGCCATTCAATACATTTGGATCGACAAGTGCCTTAGTGTCATTTAAATCCTTTCAATGACTTTCCTGCCCGTAAAACAATTTCCGATTTGCAATTCGCACCATATTTACCCAGACAGGATGTTTTGATTGTTGTCTCCATATTTCCTATTTTTGTATGGAGCTCCACTTTCAGTCCAGAAATCAGAAATTGCAAATGCGTTTTTTTTAAATAATGTTTTTAAAAATTGTTTTTATATGAAAAAAAAGAAAAATGATCAGGTTATCCTTACTATCTTAATGTAAAGATATATCTATAACATCCAATGCAGTGAGTCTCAGACACACGTGGTGTTGCTGATAAGGGCGTCTCCAAAACTCTTTGAAAAAAGTTTTATCAGAAAAATAAGAAAGATGATCAGGTTATCCTTAATATCTTAATGTAAAGATATATCTATAATATCCAATACAGTGAGTCTCAGACACACTTGGTGTTACTGATAAGGGCGTCTCCAAAACTCTTTGAAAAAAGTTTTATCAAATTTAAACAAATAAAAAAAATATATACAAGAATTGACAGTAATAACAGCCAGTAGTCATCCAGTGTCTGGGCGTCCATACAAAGTCCACCAAACTTCTGGTTGTCCCAGTATCGTGAATCAATCTTCCAAGTGGCATGTGGTGCTCAATTAATGCACTGGATATCTGTAGTCAACATTTTTATGTTTTTGAGAATTCTATGAGAATTTGTAAGAGTTAATAACCAAATTTGACAATGAAGTTATTATTGTTGGTGATTTTAATTCAGTACTAGACCCAAACAAAGATTATTTCAATTACTTACATATTGATATCCCAAAAGCCAGAAAGAAATTACTTGAAAAAATAGATAGTCATAATTTAATAGATATTTTTAGAGAGTTCCACCCAGAACAAAAACATTTACCTGGAGGAAACCAAACCCTCTGAAACAAGCACGCTTAGACTTTGCTCTTGTATCCAACTCATTGTTGACTGATATACAAAATGGTGATATTCTTGGAAGTTATAGATCAGACCATTCACCAATTTTACTGACCCTTAAGTTCAATGATTTCCTACATGGGAAAGGTTTATGAATATTTAATAGTTCTCTTTTAAAAGACCTAAAGTATATTGAAATCATAAATGATGTTATTGATAATGTTAAAACACAATATGCATTGCTGGTTTACAATGAAGCCAGCATTAAGGAAATATCCAATTCTGAAATACAATTTACTTTAAATGACCAATTATTTTTAGAGACACTCCTAATGGAGATAAGAGCAAAAACAATTTCATATGCAAGTTATATCAAACAGGAAAGGGTAAAAAATGAGAAAGACCTAATTGAGGAAATTACTGAACTGGAAAAAATTATGACAACAATGTAACTAGAATTGCTGAGAAGAAAAAAGCATTAGAATCAATAAGCCAACACAAGCTTATGGGGAATATGGTAAGGTCAACGGCAAAATGGACTAGTGAAGGGGAAAAACCAACCAGATATTTTTTAAATCTTGAAAATAGACATTTTACAAATAAGATAATACCAAAAATTATTAAAAATGAAAATAATGAGGAAAGGAAATAACAAAGCAATCTGAAATTCTAGAAGAAGTTGAAAAATTTTACAAATCATTATACTCAGTTCAAATATTAGAGAATATTGATTTGAATCTTAAAGAATCCCTTGAAGAATATAATGTCCCTAAATTAGATGATACTGAACGTTTGCAGTTGGAAGGTGTTATTTCATATAGTGAAGCCTTATCAGTATTAAAGACAATGTCTAATAACAAAAGTCCAGGTAGTGATGGCGTCACAGCAGAATTTTTTAAAGTATTCTGGAGAAATTTGGGTCATTTTGTCGTACGCTCTTTGAATTATGGTTATGAAATAGGTGAATTTTCTTCTACACAAAAGCAAGGAATAATTACTTGCATACCAAAAGAAGGAAAAAGTAAATTTCATCTCAACAATTGGAGACCAATATCACAGCTTAACATTATTTGTAAAATTGGATCAGGATGTAAAGCAAACAGATTAAAACAAGTTTTATCCAAAATAGTTAGTTCAGATCAAACAGGTTTTATAACTGGGAGATACATCGGAGAGAATACACGTCTTGTATACGATCTGATGCACTACACAGAATTGCATGATATTCCTGGAACATTAGTCATGATAGATTTTGAGAAAGCCTTCGACTCTGTGTCATGGACTTTTATTCAAGAAACATTGGAATTTTTTAACGTTGGACCAAGTTTTTTTAACTGGACAAAAATTTTCCAAAATAATAGTTATTTGTGTGTCACAAGCAGGAATTTTTATCTAACTTCTTCAAGTTAGGACGGGGCTGTAGACAGGGTGACCCAATTTCTCTTATGTGCTGAGATACTGTCTATTAAAATAAGAAATAATGAGAATATCAAAGGAATTAAGATTAATGATACAGAGTACTTAATGTCACAATATGCAGATGACACAATGTTAATTCTTGACGGCTCTGAAAAATCACCAAAGGCTACAATGCTAGTATTAGAAGAATTTTATAAAATGTCAGGTCTCAAAATCAATCAATCAAAAACCCAAATTGTGTGGATTGGAAGTAAGAATTAAGTATTCTGAGGATAGACTCTGCCCTGATCTGAAATTTTAATGGGCAACAAATTTTAATCTTTTAGGCATTTATTATGATGTTGACTTAGCAAAAATCACAAAACTAAACTATGACAAGAAACTAGTCAAAATTTAGACCACCATAGAGCAATGGAAAAAGAAAAACGTAACTCCTATTGGAAGAATCACATTGATTAAATCACTACTTATATCACAGCTTAATCATTTATTTATTACTTTACCAAACCCACCTACAAGTGTTATAAAAGATCTAATCAAATGGATCTTTAACTTTTTATGGAAATCAAATGTAGTTAAAATAAAAAGAAAAGTTGTTACACAAAAGTATGCACAGGGAGGATTAAAAATGGTTAATATTGTGTCCTACATAACAGCTTTAAAATCTACAGGGATAAGAAAAATAATCTATAACAATAACTCAAAGTGGAAAAAATCATTGGAAAATAGTGTTGAGATTGATACACTTTTAAATACTGGATCAGAATATTTGTCACATTTACAAGAAAATGTACAAAATAATTTCTGGAGAGATGTTTTGAAAGCTTTCCAAGAAATTCAAGAGAAAATAGAGATAAGAAATTGGCAAGAATATGCTTGTCAACCTTCATGACATAACAACAATTTCAAAATCGAAAAATCAAGCAATATTTTACAAGTCTTGGTATGCAAAGGGAATAAAATATGCATATGATCTTTTAGATGAGAATAGTAACTTCCTATCACTAGACAATATTCAACACAATTATGATTTGAAAATTAACCATTTAACTTATACAGGCATATGGCAAGCGATACTTGCAGATTTAAAGAAGTATAACTTTTGTAGAAATGGATTTATTCATAAACCAGGTATTCCATGTAATATCAAAGTCTTTGTATTAACCAAAAAAGGAACAAAGCCTATGTATGATATATAAAATAAATCAGTAATAAAACCTGTGGGTATGGGAAAATGGGCAAAATTTTTCACCTTGACAGATACAAACTGGAAAGAAATTTATTGTCTGCCTTTTTTAACAACCCAAAACAGTAAATTACAATGGCTTCAATACAGAATTAATCACTATATATTGACAACCAATAGTCTTATGTTTAGAATAGGTAAAACCTATGTACATTTTGTGAAGCAGAGGAAGAAACAATATTCCATTTCATTTGGCAATGTCCAGTTGTAAAACAATTTCTAGATGGTTTTGTTAGACAGTGTCATCGAAAAGACATTGTATTAATCTAGATGGTAAAACTTTTATATTTGGAGATATAAGTAAAACAATATCATCAAAATCATTAAATATTTTGCTTAGTCAATGAAGCAATATATTTACAGAGTTCGTTGTCAACCCCTCAGCCTCTCCATCCATGGTTTTCTGAATGAATACAAAATTATTTATGAAACATTGAAATATACAACCAGGGAAGGTGATAAAATAGATGAGTTTAACGCCTCCTGGTAAAAATGGCACTCCATACTCTCAGACTAATATCAATAAACCCTGTCTCAAAACTAGTTTTGCTACCTACTCTATCTATCATCCACTTTCTTTAATAACATAATCTCTCTTTCTTTCTCTTGCATTCTCTCTCTCTCTCTCTCTCAAAAAATGAATGCTGCTGCAATGAAATATTGTGTTCATCTTATGTGTTTGTACTATTTAGCATTGTGGAATTCAAATAAGAAAAAAATTATGTTTTGAAACTCTTTGAAATAATTCTGCAATAGGAAAATGAATAATCTTAAAATAATTTTATTCTTCACTTATTTCTCTAAAAGAGACCCCCAGTCCCTGCAACACCATTTCAACTGCATTAGCACTCTATTCTGGTGTCAAGGATTGCATAGGTATAATTTTTTTCCTGAGTTTTCAGTACGTGCAAGTATAATGAGCAAAAGCACATTCAAATAAAAAAGTAAATCAGTATACACAATTAGATAATTTGTTCAGATCTAAGATATTTACTGTGATACAAAAATGAAAATAACAAATTACTTCATTTCTATTTAGACTGTTTTCCAAAGTATCGTTGGTCATTACTTGGACTTAACACAGTTACATTTGGAAGCAAGGTCACTTCATTCTTTACATTTTATTTTTAACATTTAAATTTTATTTTGCAGCATAAAATTTTAATTTTTCTACTAGTCAAGATCTAAGATTTTTTTGAAAACAAGTCTCATGTTAAAAAAATCTTCATAGAGCGGAAGTAAAACGGACCCTTAAAATATGAAGTGGGATCAGGTGCTGTGGAGAAGTAGTGTGTTCCTTGGCCATGATCGGACAAATCCGTTGATAATTCAGTTCAAACAATCGCCTAACAGTTTTGTATTGAAAACGTCGGACAACATTCGAATTGATGATAGATCGCATTTTCTAACGATGACATAATATCGAGCAAACAATTTGCAAATTGTTGAGTTCAAACGAGTTATACCACCTTTCTGTTCAACATTCTAAAGAGATATATCTTTACAATAGAAAAGCTACCTGAAGAGGCAATAGTACAAAGTCTAATGTTTTATCTAAACCCCATTTTTCTGTTTTTCAATGACGGCTCTCGACACATATTATAAATCCGTCAGAGATAACATATTTAACAGATAAAAAGCCATAAAAATGGAAGCTAAGGGTTTAAGATACCTGTTCATTATTAATTTTATTATAATTGTTGATCTGGAGGTGGTGACTAGTTCCTGTAATCGCAATTATGGTCCAGCAGGTTCTCCGGAATGTGTGCTTTTTGACCGATATTATTCAAAATACCAATGGGCCACCTGTCTGACAAATGAATACATTCAGACGGTTTCGAAAGGAAACGCCATTTGTCGAGACCACTCTGCAACTTACTGCTATTACCAGTGCATGATGGAAAGCTATGAAATTTCTGAAGGTTAGTAAAAATAAGGGTAAAGTTAGGCCATATACCGGTATTTGCTATCTAGATAATATACTAAAACGCAAAAGAAACGCAACACAGAAGTTTAGGGGAAAATAATTATGTAAAGTAAAGAAATTTATATCTTAAAATTATGGATTTCTTCAATTTGATAGATATCGGTAATTTAACGGCTGAACGATTTTCATACCATAACCGGAAGTCAAGTTTGGGTCTGCTTAACAGAAATCAAAAATTGCATGCACAACAAAACATTTGGCAATATTATGTAGTTTAAAGGGTTTGTACTGTTCGTCTTAAGTAATGCAGCAATGTTTCAAAAAATAAAATCTCCTTTCGTTTCGATGCTAAGGCTTTTTGAAATTGGCTTAAGTACGCATTTCCATTGCTTTAGCTAGAAAATCTCACAGTAAAGGTGATGGAGAGTTGATGATGCAAAAATACACTATACATTACGCCTCAATAGGGTGTTACGTATCATATGTATAAATGAAAGTCCTTGGACCGGAAGTCCAAGTGTTACCACAATGATCTAAGTTAGAGAAAATTCGAACTAATCATCTGAAAACAGGCATTTAAAAAAGGCAAAGAATAATTCCTTCGCTCAGATCTCGATATTGATTAACCTACTGTATCGTAGAAATTAAGCTGCAATTATTGTTTAGGGTAGTCTTGCATGTTGCAATTGAATGGCTGGGAGGGGGTGTTTTAACAGTCATAGGTTACTTAGTAAAGTGAAAAGATAAACATTTAACATTTTTATCAAATCTCTGATCTACTGAAAAGTGAGTTTAGCCTAACTGTATTTTTTTTTTGAAAATCATAATATAAAAAACTCAAACATTTGTAGATAACTGCTTGTTGCGTTTCTTTTGCGTTTCAGTATATTAGCTATGCATAATATATGAGTTTTGAACGTTATAAGCAAACACTTCTCAAGGGAAATGAAAGACCAGTTATTTTTCGTCACAGACGTCTGCTTTTTTTATTTAAATCAAAATCGCAAATCTACCTATTTCGTCATTAGACACCAAGAAGGATATGGAGATAACGAACAGTATTCAATATCAAAGTCCATTAAACAATACAAAATAGGAGCAGAGAAAAGACGGACCTCCAAAACGTCAGAGGTGGGATCAGGTGCCATGGAAGAGTGAGCATCCCCTGCTGACCGGTCACATCCGCCGTGTGTTCCTTGTCATGATCGGGAAATAACGGAAAATTCGTCGTCAATTCAATGTATAAATAATGGACTAACAATTAGTATAAAAAACGCCAGTCAGCATTTGACTTGATGATAAACTGTATTTGCTGACAAGATCATTGCATATATCGACCATAGAACTAACGAAATGATGACGTTAAACGAGACCGCTGATATTCTTGTTTCATCAACTTGCTTGTCAATAATTTACCTCGTTTTAGAAATTGTTCATACGTAGACCATGCTCTTGTATATCGAATCAACTGAGATATATACACTCCGTATGCAGGTAATGAAGGTATATTGCTGCATAAGTAAGGGGGGTTGACGATAGAAAAGTTAAAGTCATAACGTTTATCATATAGCTTGGTTGTTAGATTACCATTAACGTCTCTTTCAAGTAAAATATCCATTCATGAAACAGATGTGTCAGGCTCCGTGGTATCTTTTATCTCAAGCCCACCAGGATATATCGTATCGACGTAGGAATGGAAATACCATTGTTAACAATACGTCGTCGATATATCTAAATGTCGAGTTGAAGGCCAAAGCAAGTGTTTTCTTCTTTCCACGCATAAGATTTTGCACAAATTGTGCTTCATATGAATATAAAAATAGGTCTGCTATTAACGGAGCGCAATTGGTACCCATGGGAATTCCAACAGATTGTTGGAAGACCTGATCTAAAAAAAAAAACCACATAGATATTGTCAATCAGAAACTCAGGCATCTTTTTGATGTCAACTTCAGAGTACTTACAGATTTACTTTGTTAAAAGCTTTTCGAATTGTACATCGAATCAACTGGGAGACAAAACTCATTATGCAGGTGATAATGGTATAGTTATACAATTGTGAGATATTGACAATTAAATAAGGTAAAGTTATTACGTTTATCATAAAGGTTTCTTTTCAGGGTAGCATTAACGTCTTCGTCTTGAAAATATCCATATATGAAACAAACATGCAAATCTCTGTGGTTTATTTTATCTCGAGATAGAGAAATATATCAAATCAACGTAGGAATGGAAATTATTGATTGTTTGTTTGAATTTTGGACCAAAATAAATTTAAATAAAATTAAGTGATAAAAGTCTTATTTGAAACTATTTAACGGCACAAGTAATTACGTCTAGCAGGACTTTAACGCAGGATTCTTTATGGGCTGTTTAACGTGACTGTCCCGTCACAGTGAAATTCCTTAGCGCCACAGTTAAAAAATCAACGCCAAAGTTCCGCTACAGTTAACATGTTAGCGCCACAGTATGATTTTTATTGTGAGTGAGATTAATATGTTTTATAAAACAAATAAACCTCCAAATAATGAACCGTTTTTCAGTTTTTAATGCTATGAATATATCAAACTCTTCAAAGAAGTGTAATTTATATCAACATGTAATTGATAATTTCTGTTTGCAGTCAAATTTAACAAAACCTATTGACAAAAAATTAGACAACTATTAACAACTATTAACAAAATTTAGGTTATTGAATCACACGTTGAGTATTGAAACAGGTCGACACCATAACATACCTAAGATTAATAGATTACATGTATGTATATACATGTATGTTGTAATTTCCATGATGTAAAAGACAAATTTCATTTCATTTTAAAATGCCCTTTGACTATTGATCTAAAGAACAAGTTTTGAACAAGCATTATTTTACTAAGCCAAGACTTAGCGTTTTAATTAATTCAGCTGTTAAGTTCTAATAATATCTAGATCTTTTAAATTTGGGCAAATTTTTGTATGCTGCAACAATGTGAAGAAAAAAATAAAATTGATGTATAGTACTATTTTCATGTATATGTTCTTTACGTTCACTCTCTCTCTCTATGCTCTTTTTCTTACTATTATCATGTATGTATAACTTCTCTGATGAGCCAGTTGGCTCAAAGAAATAAGAAACAAGAAAACATTGATATAACCATCAATTGTCGCCCGGGAAATAAATAAAGTAAACAATGAAAATGAGTTTGGATCATCAAACCGCTTCGATATGTGTGATAAAGTCATGCGTCTAAATGATGGAGACGATACACATGTAGTCAAGAATATTTTGAAAACTTATGGTCGGATGAAAATTGAACAAAAACGGTACCCTTTAAACTTTATCAATTCCTCAATTAAATGTTGGCTGCATAAAATTTAAATTAAAACCAGACACATGCATCACTTATTTTCAAAAATGTATTTCACTTTCAGAATTATATAAAACACGAACTGTGTAAAGTACGCTTTTATGCGATAAGTAAAATTCGATGTTCTATAAAAAGGGTCGTTTTTGGATAGTATATGATAAGCAACTTTATATATTAAATTTGAAAAACATATATATTTTTACAGATTTACTTGATGGAAGTAAATATATTGTACATCTCTTGATTTATAAAGGGAAAGAACATTCTGATTAACAATCTTTTTAATGTTTAGAAAACCTTTAATTCTGATTGACTTCTCCCACCTCAATCCCCATGTACCAACACTTAAACTCAGATGTATAGAGCAGCCCAGTCCTCCGGGCTGCAATAAAAAAGACTTGAAACTTGTTTCTAATGGTAAACCATTTATTTACTCTAATCATGCTAATTAGGGCACATTGTTTGACCTCAACAAGCAATTATCTTTTAGACCTTGCTAGACACTTGAATGAAAAGAGACATACCATTTTTCCACACTTCACGATAATTGCAGATTGAATTTTTAATATTAATTAATTCACACTTTAATAGTTCTAATTAAAAGCAAGTTTCTAAAATTGCATTTTCACTGCGAGTCACACATTGTACCTGTATGCGTATCGTAATCATGTGATTTTGTAATGTGAAAAAAAAATTAACGAATGAACCACCAAAATAGGATTTTATGACTCTGAAGTATGTTTTTAATTCACAAGTTTCAGATATTTTACTCCCCAGATCGATGATTACAAATTTAAATATAGATTTAAGCTTGATTTTGTGACTTACCAGAATTTCCTCTCTCCTTTAATGAACACTGTATAATTTACCTTTTGTTTAACCAATCAATTTTTTTAAATAGGGTTTATTGCGTAAAAGTTGTTGTCACTGATACTTTTATTTTCAGATTCTCTAAGAAAATATCTGTTTGTTTATTATTCTGTTTGTTTTGTCCGGAGAGCGGGGAGGGGTGTCTATTTCACAGCATGTATATATTTTTTTAAAAATCCTAATTTGTTTTACACTATCTTTATTCGATATCGATTAAATGCTTTTATTATTGAATTCATCAGTTAATTTTCCAAATAATAAATGCCATTTGTGTATTTAAGTTTTGATTCATTGAGGATGTATTTTTTGAAAAGTTTAATTCGTGGTTCATCTGCGAATTCGGTCGAAGAATTACCGCGAATATAAGCGCAGTAAACCTTGCGCCAGAGTTCAAATTTAAATGATGGTGAACCCTAATAACGTGAAGAAGAACAAAATTACGTAAAATGATTATGTTTCAGATATTCTATAACTAAGCACTTTGTTTTGGAATTTAAAACTTTAAAAGCAATGGATGTTTGTGAAGAAGTACAACTTTGGAAGCAATCGATATTTTTGAAAAATATAAAGGTTGAACCACCTTGAAATATGGTGGAACACAAGACTGGATCTCCCTAAGATTAAGAATATCACGAATGTTTACTGCATCAATTTCTTTTTGTTTTTGGTAAATTGAAGTTTGAATAACAAATAAGTTGCTTGAGCAGCATTTTCTTCCCCAGAACCTCGGCGGCTTTAAAAGTTTGCAATATTCATAATCACGGAACTAATTCTGTATTCTGGTGTCGAAAAATCAAAAAATGGACTATCCTTGACTTTTCAAATAAATCATTTAAAATTTCAAAGAGACAGCGTAAAATTGAATGCAAATCTCTTTTTTTTTGTTGTTGTCATTTTGGCATTGCAGTTACAGTCACTACAATAAAATAAAATATGAAATAAACCGGAGATTCATATTTATTTTTAGGTGATGTTCGTGATGAATGTGCTTGTGGAGTTGATGCCCCACAACAAACAAGAACTCCACCTACGAATCAAACTCAGCTTCCGAGTCAGTGCTACAGTCCATCCGGTAGAGACTGTAATTGGTACAGCGACTGCTTGGAGGTAATAGTTTTTACAAAATCAATCTGATGCTTCTCATTCCTTTCAAATTGTATTCTAAATTCAAATTTATTTGACGTTTTAAAATTTTTAATTGTTTTGTCAGAGACGATTTCCTTGCAAAGAAAGGCAACAAACATCATATGCAATAAACAATGGTGATAAGTTTTGCAACTTGTACGAAGACCATTACCAGCGCTTCTCGACTGAAGGACAGCAGTGGATTGATGCCGTTAGAGGGTGTTTACAGGTGGCGCTAGTTCCACTCCTGCGTCCATACTTCCAAATTACCTGTGAGGAAATTAAGAAAAAAGCATTTAATTCTCATGTCAATTGCTACACAAACCCAAGGAAAAACACTCCATCGTTTTGTGACCTAAAAATGTCGGACAAACTACAAATAGGTTTTACCGTTATACCCGGACTTTTTTCAAATTGTTTTCAGCATAAATACCTTTGCAAGGATATTTTTGAATCTGCAAAACAGTTATGGGAAACATACAAGGCGTGTACATATCATTTATCTCGTTTAAGTAATGTTAAACAACTCCAATTCTCGTACTTCGGATTTAATCATCAATCTAGATCACGCAGATCCACAACAAGTGTGGATGATTACTCAGCAGGAGCGAACCTTATAAAAACGATTGCAAACAAAATGGAATGGAAATCATCAGGTGTGACGTGGATAGCATATTTCCAAAACAACATAACGGCAAGCGAACAATCGGTCATGCAACAGTTAAACATATTACTTGCTCCAAGTAAACTTTATAATTTGAATGACAATACAAACGTGTCTTCGCCTGTCAACGTGACTGAAGCTGTGGAAAATGTAACAGACGCGTTCCGTTCTGGTATCCTTACTTCAGATATGATCAATGGTATTTCCATAGTCAAATACTTTGTGTGTACCGATAACAACTGCTTGAATAAATCTTTGGAGTTTAAACCCCTGTCATCAGCTTTGAAAAATGATGTGAGCGATGGATTATGGACACTAACCAACATAGTATTGATAGCAGCCGGATGCGCATTGTTTTTGCTGATATCCTTATCAGCCATTATCTGCATGAGAAGAACAAATTCAAGTAAAATTGTTTGAAACATTTACCCTTTAAAACTTACAGATGAAGGTATATGAAAGCTTTAAAACATTGTTAATCTATATACAATTACAGTTTTAAAAAGGAATGTTACGCTGCAATTATATGATGTGTTACTTATATATTATTTGTATTACTTTGATAGAACAACTAATAGATAAGATAAACCATTTTGATTTGCCGGATAATTTATTCAAATACATGTATAAACACATGTACAAAAGGGTAAAGATATCCATAAAAGTATTTGCAAATCTTTCTTGTTGGGGATTACAGGCATATAAAACAAAATGCTTTATTACATCGTCAATGTAACTTTTATTATAATACTTCCTTAGATATTTCCTTGATGTTGTGCCTTGAATTCATTCTAGATAAAAAAAAATAATTCAACATTCTGATATTCAAATAAATCATACAATGTACTCTCGTCGTCAAGTGCATTAATCTGATGAGGGGTTTTCCCTTTATTTCCCGATCATGACAAGGAGAACATAGCGGGTGTACTCCTCCATGGCACCTGATCTTACCTCTAATGTTTTAGAGGTCCGTGTTTGCTCTACTCCTATTTTATATTGTTTAATGTACTTTTAAGCTTGAATACTCTTTGTTATCTCAATATGTTTCATCAGGCATACTTCCTCTATCGTCTAACTAAACAAGGTAATATTAGATGCATATTATAGCTAGTTTTTACCACGGATCCTTCTTAACAATTTATAATACTTTTGGGGGGTACGGCTTATTGTTTTAACACATACATATGTCTCCTGAAATAGCAACGGGTCATTATTTTTCTTCTATTGGCTTCTATGGCCTATTTTGTTTCGTTTAAATACCTTGCTATGAATGTTTCAAAACATCTAAAATTTGTGATAATTGTAACCAAATACATGATCATAAAAATGCACTTTATCTGCAAAGGCTTATTCTAACCTATAGAATAGTGTGTATTTACAACTTACACTTTGTGATATTTTGATCAAATTAGACATCGAACTACAAATAAAAAGACTACAAATAAGATATGGAGAATATAAACTGTCAAATAAAAACTTACTGCGTTCATACCAGGACTTTAAGATTGACGAAAATCTAGGCTATATATCAAAATATTGTAATTTAAACAAGAGTCCCATGGGCCACATCGCTCACCTGAAAAACTTTGGCCATGCTGTTCTTTAACAGATTTCCACCCTTTGAAATACCAGTTGTGACCACGCCCTACCCCCAGGGGTCATGATTTGAACAATTTAGAATTTCACCACCCTAGGATGCTTCCACTTAAGTTTCAGCTTTTCTGGCTCAGTGGTTCTTGAGAAGAAGATTTTTAAAGTTTTTTGCTATATATTTCTATGTAAAACTTGGATTCCCTATAGTGGCCCCGCCCTACCTCCGGAGGTCATGATTTGAAAAATTTAGAATCTACACTACCCCAGCATGCTTTCACATAAGTTTCAGCTTTTCTGGTCCAGTGGTTCTTGAGAAGAAGATTTTCAAAGTTTTTCCCTTTATATTTCTATGTAAAACTTGGATTCCCTATTGTGGCCCCGCCCTACCTCCAGGGGTCATGATTTGAACAATTTAGAATCTACACTACCCCAGAATGCTTCCAAATAAGTTTCAGCTTTTCTGGTCCAATGGTTTTTAAGAAGAAGACCTTTAGAGTTTTTGCTATACATTACTATGTAAAACTTGGATTCCCTATTGTGGCCTCGCCCTTCCTCTAGGGGTCATGGTTTGAACAATTTAGAATCTACACTACCCCAGGATGCTTTCACATACGTTTCAGTTTTTCTGGTCCAGTGATTCTTGAGAAGAAGATTTTTAAAGTTTTTGCGATATATTTCTATGCAAAACTTGGGTTCACTATTGTGGCCCCGCCCTACCTCCAGGGGTCTTGATCTGAGCAATTTAAAATCTACACTACCCCAGTATGCTTCCACTTAAGTTTCAGATTTTCTGGTCCAGTGGTTTTTAAGAAGAAGACCTTTAGAGTTTTTGCTATATATTACCATAAATGAACCATTTCTAAATCGAGGAATGTTTTTGAACAAGAGGCCCAGAGGCCACATCGCTCACCTGAGCAACTGGCTAGGTAAAAGCAAAAATTAGTCCAGTATTGAAAAGTTATATATATTATAAAAGTGGGTTCCGGGGAGAGGGTATTTAAACAAACTTAAATCCACACTTCCTTAGAATGCTTTTGAATTTATGTGACACAATATGGTTTTGTTCTTTATAAGCTGAATTTTTTTTTATTGATATAGCCTTTGTATTCCTTTGTTATTATCCAATTTATGGCTTCTCTTTTCTCCTGAATTCTTAATCTACATTACCTTTTTTTATTATTTTAAATTGATGATCAATCATCAATGATGGCTTTGTGAAGAATTTTAAAGTTTTTTCCTATGTTTTCTTATGTTTAACTTTGATACCCCATTGTGTCCCCACCCTATCCCCGTGGGTCATGATTTGAACAAGATTTAATCTTCCTCTTCAGAGGATACTTCTGCAAGAGTTTCATCTTTCCTGGCTCTATGCATTCCTATGTTAAACTTTGATACCCCACCGTAGCCCCACCCTACCCCGGGGGTCATGATTTAAACAAACTTGAATCTTCATTAGCAAACGATGCTTCTACATAAGTTTCATCTTTCATACCCAGTGGTTCTGGAAGAGAAGATTGATAAACATTTTTTTCTATGTATTCATTTCCTATGTTAGACTTTGATACCCCACTGTGGCCCCACACTATCCCGGGGGTCATGATTTGAAAAAAACTTGAATCTTCGCTACCAAATGATGCTTCTAGACAAGTTTCATCTTTCCTGGCCAAGTGAATCTTGAGAAGAAGATTTATACAAATTTTTCCTACGCATTCCTATGTTAAACTTTGATACCCCATTGTGGCCCCACCCTACCCCCCGGGGGTTCATGACTTGAACAAAATTAAATCTTCTCTTTTAGAGGATGTTTTTGCATGAGTGTCATCTTTCCTGGCCCAGTGAATCTTGAGAAGATTTCTTAAGATTTTTTTTTATGTATTCCTATGTTAAACTTTGATACCCCCACTGTGGCCCCACGCTAACCCCAGGGGTCATGATTGATTTGAACAAACTTGAATCTACACTACCTAAGGATAATTCCACACGAGTTTCATCTTTCCTGGCCTAGTGGTTCTTGAGAAGAAGATTTTTTAAAGATGCCTTAATTTTTCACTAATTCATAATTATCTCCCCTTGGAAAAGGGCGTGACCCTTCATTTAAACACACTTGAATCCCCTTCACAAAAGAATACTTTGTGGCAAGTTTGGTTGAAATTGGCCCAGTGGTTCTTGAGAAAAAGATGAAAATGTGAAAAGATAACGACGACAACGACGACAACAACGCCAACAACGACAATGAAAGACAACAGACAAATTTTGACCAGAAAAGCTCACTAAAGCCTTCGGCTCAGGTGAGCTAAAAACAATTTGCTGAAACAGGAATGTCAGCAGTCTCGTTTAAGGTCATCATTTTGACCTTGTCGGCAAATACAATTCACAATACGTCAAATGCTGACTGACGTTTTTTATATTAATTGTTAGGCCATTGTATACGCATTGAATTGTTAACGAATTTTTCCGCTATTTCCCAATCAGGGCAAGGAGCACACGGCGAGTGTGACCGGTCGGCAAGGAATTCTCACGCATGGCAGCTGATCCCATCTGTGATGTTTCGGAGGTCCGTGGTTGATCTTCTCTGAATTTGTATTGTTTAATGGACTTTTGAGTATGAATACCCTTTGTAGAGACAGACTGCTACCGGAAGTCGTTTCTAGAGACAGTTTGCTTCCTCTAGAAGTTTTGCTCTTGAGTGAGACTTCTCACTAGGGTATGAATGACTTTAGAGCAGGAGACCCCCGAGGAAGTATCACTCTAGAGTCCACTTCCCTTTGGAACTAGTTGTAGAGTCAGACTTTCCCCATAAAAGGTATTCCCTCTTCATTTAATCTTGCTTTTACCATCACTATAGCCACTCAGTAGAGATAATTTTGTCACTAAACCTTTACAGCGGAGGTTTAACTGCCCTAACTTTCACTAAAGGTGCAGGAATTTATTTGGATCAGACCGTCCGTTTGTCCGTCTGTCTAGGTAGCTTTATTTCTATCTATGTGTAACACTTTCGTTTCTGGACAATTACTTAAAAACCTTTATTTACTTATTATAAGCATAGGATTAAAAAAAATTATTACCAAAACAAGTGCCTGTGGGTGAAGGCTGTAGCACTTATCAAGGATATTATCTATTTTCCTGACAGTAGAGGATAGACTAGTTATTTTCCAAATTTTCAAGATCAAATTATTTGTTTCTTAAATCTGTTACCCCCTCCCAAACATATCAAAATCCTTATATGATGGGCATCAATTACGCCACATCATTCAATAAACTTGATACACCTGTACTTTGTACTTTGTTATTGTAAAGTCTATTTTTATCCAACTTTCAACTTCCAGTTTTGTATGATCATTTAAATGTATATTGACTTTAACTGTTTAGGTAAAATCAATAGCATAGTTCTCTCACATTATAATTCAGTTTTGAATAGTTTTCTTTTTCACATTTGTTTTTATAAAACACTTGCTTTCCAAGGCTGTATTCATTGTAATATTTCACTCTGACTGAGACACTGTACCTCTTTTTACAATCAATTCAATATCATTCTGATATCTCAAGTAATCCCCATTTTGAAACTCCTAAGACAGTGAGGCTTAGGCTTCATTATCATGAATGTGTACAGAGCTGATTTCTTTTACGTGCTGATTTCATGTGGTCTTTTACATTTTGCCATTGTTCACACATAAAAGATACTCTTTTGCCTGTAGGAAATAAACAAAGAAGCTAAAATTTGTATGCACATTATATAAATAAAAAAATACTTGATTTTATTTAAATCGTAGGATATATATTGCCAATGTAAACAACTTCCCGTCAGTTTTGTCCAATGATTTCTTAAATCTCTCACACTAAAGAACTCACATTTATCAATGGGAGATAATTCAATTTTTAAATGAATGTCTTCTATTTTAATCATAGAGATTTTTCGTATTTATAGACTGAATACCAACAATGTTTTTGAATGCCTTTGAAAACTAGA